ATGGTGACCAGGGGGCGGTGCACCTGTCAAAGGGCAGGGCTACCCAAATCATCAGGTTTGGTCCTCCTGCACATGGGCAGGAAAGACAGCTGGGGTCACATGACCCCAGCAAAATGAGCATCTATCATATGAAAGCTGTCTGTAAATAAAAAGGAATCTCAATTCAAGTTGTTTTGGGACTACTGAATTATGAGCCTTTACATATTCTGTTTTTTAAATATTTATTAAATATAAAGTAGCCATCGCTTTTCATCTTTTAAATATTTATTTATAAAGTTGTTAATATACTGAAGTGTTTTGCCATTACATTTCTTTTTTAAGAGTGCATATGGGAGCTGGGTGTCAGATTGCATGAGGGTATCCAGGTTGTAGCCATATTGGTCTAGAGGCAAAAGGAATTAGAACTCATAGTAGAGGTGACATCTTTTCTTAGAACAACTAGATTTTTGCAAAAAAAATCTTCAATTGCAATTAAAGAAAATTTTGCAGAAATCTAGTTGATCTAATAAAAGAGATTGTAAGAGATGCTTGAAGCTGGGGAATGTAGAAAAAAATGCATATGAGCAAAACTCCTGCAGCCGATATAGTGATTTGATGTTTTGTCTTGATTGTGGTCCTTATTTCTAATGCTCTGGGAGGAGTTCAGCTCTTTTTCAGACTTTTTTTTTTTTATTGCTCCACAGTCTTCCCCCTGCTTATTTGCTTTGCAGATCTTAGGAAGTTTAGGGGGCATGTCTGGCTTACCGGGATTCCCATAGCTGCCTTGGTTTTGTGGGCTTTAGTATCATGGCAAAATCTCCAATTTCTTGACGCTTCAATTCATAGATTAGGGTTGGAAGGGACCTCAGGACATCACATCTAGTCCAGCCCCCTGCTCAAAGGAAGACCATACCCAACTGGATCATCCCAACCAAGGCTTTGTCTATCTGTTTTTTGAAAACCTCCAAGGATAGAGATTCCACCACCTTTCCAGGTAACTTGTTCTAGTGTTTTACTACCCTCCTAATGAGATGTCAGGAAGAATTTTCTAACCTAAACTTTTCTTGCTGCAACTTGAGACGATTGCTCCTTGTTCTGTCATCTGCCACTGCTGAGAACAGTTTGGCTCCATCATCTTTTGAACCCACCTTCACATAGTTGAAGACTGCTATTAAATCCTCTCACAGTCCTTTCTCTAGACTAAACAAGCCCAGTTCCCTCAGCCTCTTCTCAGAAGTCATGTACCCCAGCGCCCTCGCCACTTCCATTGTCCTCCAGTGGACTCTCCAATTTGTCCATGTCCTTTCTATACTAGGGGCCCAAAACTGACCACAGTACTCCAGATGTAGTCTTAACAGTGCTGACTAGAGGGAAATAATCACTTCCCTTGACCTGTTGCCAACGCTTTCTACCAATGTAGCCCAGTATGCCGTTGGCTTTCTTGGCAACAAGGCGAGACTGTTGGCTCATATTCAGCTTATTGTCCGCTGTAACCCTCAAGTCCATTTCTGCAGTACTGCTGCCCAACCAGTTAGCCCCCAGCCTGTACTGGTGCATGGGATTCTTCCATCCGAAGTGCAGGACTTGGCATTTGTCCTTGTTTGAACCTCATGAGACTTCTTTTGGCCCAATCCTCCACTTTTTGTACATCTCTCTGAATCCTAGCCCTCCCCTCCAGCGTATCTACTGCTCCCTCCAGTTTGGTGTCATCTGCAGACTTGTTGAGTGCGCACTTTGTGCCATCTTCCAGGTCATTGATGAGAATATTGAACAAAACCGGCCTCACAACCAGCCCCGGGCGCACTCCACTTGATACCAGCTGCCAGCTAGACATTGAGCCTCTCAGCCTGATGCTCCAGCCAATTTTCTATCCACCTTACCATCCATTCATCCAGCCTGTATTTCCTTAGCTTGCCTGTGAGAACGTTGTGGGAGACCGCATCAAAAGCCTTGCTAAAATCAAGGTGTACCACATCCACTGGTCTCCCTGCAACCACAGAGCAAGTCATCTCATCATAGAAGGCAAGCAGGTTGGTAAGGCGTGACTTGCACGTGGTGATTCCATGTCAGCTGTTCCTAATCACTTTCTTCTCAACGTGCTTAGAAATGGGTTCCTTGAGGATCTGCTCCATCATTTTTTCCAGGGACTGAGGTGAGGCTGACTAGTGTGCAGCTCCCTGGATCTTCCTTTTCCACTTTCTTAAATATGGGCACTGTTTGCCCTTTTCCAGTCATCCGGGACCTCTCCTGATAGCCATGAGTTTTCAAAGATGATGGCCAGTGGCTCTGCAATCACATCAGTCAGCTCCCTCAGCACCCTTGGGTGCATTCCACCCAGCCCCATGGACTTGTATATGTCCAGCTTTTCTTAATAGTCCCTAACCTGTTCCTTCGCCACTGTTGGCTGAGCACCTCCTCCCCGAACTGTGTTGCCAGGTACAGTAGTCTGGGAGCAGACCTTGCCTGTGAAGACTGAGGTGAAGAAGGTATTGAACACTTCACCCTTTCCTGTGTCATCTGTCACTAGGTTGCCTCCCCCATTCAGTAAAGGACCCACACTTTCCCTGATCTTCCTCTTCTTACTGACATACTTGTAGAAACTTCTTGTTGCCCTTCACATGCCTTGCTAACTGCAACTCCAGTTGCATGTTGGCCTTCCTGACTTCATCCCTGCATGCCAGAACAATACTCTCATACTCCTCCCTAGTTGTTTGCTTAAGTTTCCACTTCTTATAAGCTTCCTTTTTGTGATTTAGTTTACTGAAGAGTTCCCTGCTAAACTGAGCTGGTCTTCTGCCATTCTTGCTAGTCTTCCTGCACATCAGGATGGTTTGTTCCTGCACTCTACATGAGGCTTCTTTAAATTACAGCCAGCTCTGCTGGACTCCTCTCCCCCTCAGTTTGGCCTCCCAGGGGATCCTGCCCATGAATTTCCTGAGTCAAAGTCTGCTTTTCTGATGTCCAGGGTCCCTACTTGCTACTCTCCATCCTTTTCCTCAGGATCCTGAACTCAATCATCTTGTGGTTGCTGCTGCCTAAGTTGCCATCTACTAGTACACTGCGCCAATTCTTCCATGTTTGTGAGCAGCAGGTCAAGAAGAGCACAGCCTCTAGTTGGCCACTCCACCTGCACGAGGTACTTGTCCCCAACACTCTCTAGAAACTTCCTGGATTGCCTGCACACTGCTGTATTGCCCTCCCAGCAGATGTCAGGGTGATTGAAGTCCACCATGAGAACAAGGGCCTCTGATGGGAAAGCTTTCGCCAGCTGTTTGAAGAAAGCCTCATCCACCACATCCTTCTGGTGTAGTCTATAGAAGACCTCCACCACAACATCACCCTTGTTGTTCTCTCTTCTGACCTTAACCAAGAGGTTTTCAACAGGCCTATCTCCAGTCTCATATTGGAGCTCTGAGCGATCACATGGCTCTTTTACATGAGGTGCAACTCTTCCTCCCCTACCTGTCGTTCCTGAATAGTTTGAACCCATCCATGACAGAGCTCCAGTCATGCGAACTCCCACCAAGTCTGTTATTTAAATCACATCATAGTTTTGTGACTGCAAGAACTTTCAGTTTTTCCTGCTTGTTTCCCAGGCTCTGTGCATTCATGTACAGGCATTTCTCCTGAAGAATGAGAACACCTCCCCATTGCCCCTTCCTGCTTGTTGCTTCCTCCAGGTCACCCACTTATATCAGGGCTTTGGTCTCCATCCCCCAGTGAACCTAGTTTAAATTCCTCCTCAGTAGGTTAGCCAGCCTGTCTGCAAAGATACCCTTACCTCTCTTCCCAGCAATCTTTCTTCTTGGAACATCATCCCATGGTCAGAGAAGGCAAAGCCCTGCTGGCGACACGAGCTATGCAGCCAGGCATTGATCTGCAGGATGTACCCACTCCTGCCCTGGCCCTTTCCCCTGACTGGAAGGATCAAAGAGAACACCACCTGAACCCCTGTCCCCTTCACCCTTGCACCCAGAGCCCTGTAGTCACGTTTGATCTGCTTAGGGTCTCGCCTGGCAGTATCATTGGTGCCCACATGGATGAGCAGCATGAGGTAATAGTCAGAGGGCCAGATGAGTCTCTGTAATACCTCTGTGACATCTTGGATTTGGGCTCTGGGCAAGCAGCAGACTTCCTGAGACAACAGGTGAGGTCAGCAGATTGATCCCTCCGTCCCCCACAAGTTCATACATTTAAGTCATAAGTTCATACGTTTCATGTAATCCATCTCTTCGCATATGGGAATTCATGATTTAAAACTCTGAAGTGTCACAGAAGCTGAAAAGTGTGAAGAGAGCTGAGAATAATAGGCCCTGAGGAACTCAGTAAATCAAAAAGCATATGAAGCAGGGGACTAGTTGGGTTTACTTTTTAGTGCCAAGTCAAACTTAATAAGTTCCAGTTCTAACAATGCTTATGTATAACCAGTTGACAGCAGCAAAAAATACCAACAGAATTTGTTTTAGTTTTATTAGTCTGTGTATAACTCAGTGGTGAGAGTGAGTTTTTGTCCGATTCACAGAGGAGATTTGTGTGTTACAAGATAAGATAGGGAGTCTTGAGCTGGAGGTCCCCACTGACAGCTGAAATGTGACTGCCATGTGTTCATTGGGTATTTTATTCTCTAACTACAATGTCTAAAGTTATTGCAACAAGATAGTTCCAGAGTTGGTGGGATAAAAAGTCAGATATTTTCATTATGAATGAAAGGACCTTTTAACTACAAAAAATGTTAGCAGAATTTTCTTTTAGCTGAAAGAGGGGGGAGAGAAAAAGCCACATTCACTTTAATAGTGACAATGTATGTTGTTAAATCAAAATATCTTGGTTTCTTATCTAGAAATCATACAGTAGGTGAAAAAGGTGTATGGTGAACTATGGTGGCATAGTTAACTATAGAGCAGTACCATGGTTCACATTATTACTCAAATAGAAATATAATAGAATTCATACTCAAGGTATGCTTTCATGTGTGTTTTTTTTTTTTGTAAATTTTTGAAAATCCTTTCTTTCATTTGTAGGACCAGATTTTAGACACTAAAATAATTTTGAAATGGACCGATATGAAGATGTGTCAGAGGGTGAAGTGGACCATTCATTCTTTGATAGTGATTTTGAAGAAGCACCAAAGAAAAATGAAGAAAATAGTGTGCTCATAGGAAAAGTAGGTACACATGTAGCATCATCAGACTTGGCATCAGAAACCAAATCAAGAGAAGACTCCTGTCCTAATGAGGAAAGTGAAGAGAAACAGAGAGCTTTGCTAAAGGAGCAGCGTGTAGATGGTGACACTGACCATCCTGGGAATGCTTCTTCATTGTCACTTTCTCCTGATTCAGAGAATGCAGGTACCTCTGGGAGAATATCTGCAACAAGTAGAATACAGGAAAACATTCCAGCTGGAATCCCCAAAATAGTTAAAGAAGGTGAAGAAGACTATTACACAGATGAAGAGGATAGTAGTGATGATGGCAAAAAACAAAGGGTTAGACCTAAATCGGCAAAGCAGTCTAGTGGCATAAAGAAAGTTAACAAAAAATATACCAATATCAGCTCCTCTTCCTCCTCCTCCTCTTCCTCCTCCTCCTCCTCCTCCTCCTCCTCAAGTTCAGATACAGATTGTTCAGATACAGATTCTGACAGCTGCATATCGGATTCATCCCACTCCTCTTCAAAGAGAAATACATGTACCTTGGCTCTTCTGTCTCCACGGCAAAAGTTCAAATCAGGAGTAAAATCAGTGGAATTAAAACCGAAGCTTGGTGACTACACAGAGGAGTCTGAAGATACAGTGACTGACGTTACTCCTCTGTCAACACCAGACATCAGTCCTATCCAGTCTTTTGAACTCGCAGCATCAAATGACAAGAAACTGAAAATAAAACGACAGGAAAATGTGAGCCAAGAACTATATGGTAATTTTGAGAGATTTAAATACAGTACAAAATTTGTAGAGCCTACCAAACTAGAGGGAAAAAAATGAAACCCAGTCTGACACCTGTATCTTTTTTACTAGATTCCGAGATTGATCGCAGATATAATCGAAAGGTTTTGCATGATGCTATGGACTTGAATCAGCTTTTGAAAGGTGATTTTTCTTTTTAATATTTACTAATTTATCTACATAGTTAATGAGTAGGTTTTATACACACTTAACGTTTAAACCTGGGCTCAGCCCAACCAGTACTAATTTTAAAGTTGCCTTGAGTTTTTATGTATGTGAATGTAAATACCACTCTGACAGGAGTGCGGTATTGGAGTTGCTCCCATAACAGACTCTTAAGGGTAAAGGTGATAAATGAGGATGTCATAAATACCATAATAAAATTTGATGTCTTCATATATCTATTATAATTATACTTGAATTTGTTAAACCATGATGCGTTAAATAGCAAATACTAGTAATTGTCTTTAAAAACAGAAACACTTCCAATAAGATATATGTCAAAGTATAGATAATCAAGACTTTAAAAGGCCAGCAAAAACTACCCACTACTGTAAATTAGAATGCAAATATACACGTGCATTTGAACTTTTTGTACCCTTGTGATAACTAAACAAAATGAATTTTAAATAACTAATTACATTTCTGAGTTACAATATAGTAATATCATGAAAACATTTATAAAAATAGCTTTGGCAAGAGAACTGAATTATAGCTTTTCCTCAGCAGGTTTATGAAATGTCTTTACTGTTATTGGAATGGGTATAAGAGAGTCCTGTGTCTGTCTCACCATTCTATTCTTCATAATCCTCAGTGAGATGGAGGGCATTGGCTGATCCATGTTTTATATGTCCATGTGGAGCCTAGCAGATTTTTGTCCAGTGGTTTCTGTCTGCTTTTCCTCTTGTGGTCAGGCATTATTCTGTAGTGAGATGTGTGGGCTAATAGTGTTCTCAATTTAAAAGAGCTTCTCGTTTTAAGGTGGAAAGAAACTTACGTAATTGCATCAAGGCCTTGACTTACCTCTCTACGTGTGCTTTTGCTTGTTCTTAGAGCTGATGGTTCTGATGTTGTAGAAGGAACAACAATGTTGTTTTATGCTCTGATAGTGGTATGAGCACCCTCGACTTGTAATGCACTTTGCATCTTGTAGGATTAGCCCATAATTAAGAAATCCTTAAAATATGTCTTTAATGTAAATTTATCTACTATAAAAGGAAATAACACTGTTATCTTTTGGAGACTACATTGAAAGCAATAAAAGCTGAACAATGATCAAAGCAGGCTATCTTGATTTAAAAAAAAAAAAATGTCTGCTAATCCCTATGTCAGTGGTCACCAACCAGTCGATCGGGATTGATCCATTGATCCCAGAGCCTCTTGTGATCCTGGGCTGGGGAAGGGCAGGAGGCGGGCTGAACATGTGCATGCATGTGTGCATGCACCCCCCCCCAGCCCAGCAAGTCAGTTGTTGGGGAAGGGAAGAGGTGGGGGCCAAATCAAGGCCACCATGTTGAGGGACAGAGTTCAGGAGCTGCCCAGTAAGTGGGGCATCGGGCAGGTGGTGGGAGGATTGAGCCTGGGCATTCATTCAGGGGCAGGGGGGGCTCCCACTGTTGTGTATACCCCGGCGGAGGCTTCAGGGGACATGTGCCCCCCATCTGGGCCTGGCGGAGGCGTTTCCCACTGCAAGCTAGGCTTTGCGCCTCAAGCCCTGCTGCAGCTGGCCTGGGAGTGGCCTGACACCATATGCGTCCGACTGCTCCCAGGCCAGCTGCAGCAGGGCTTGGGCGCAAAGCCCAGCCTGCAGTAGGAGCTGCTTCTGCAGTGCACAGATTAGGGGGGCATGTCCCTCCCAAAATGTGGGGCAGCAAAGGTGGCTGCAGCAGTGGTGAGAGGGAGTGGGGCTGGAGCAGGGGCAGGCCCTGCAGAGATGGGGTGGGATGGAGCCATGAATGGCTCATCCAGGGAGCACACACCCCAGGAGGGCATGGGGGGGCACGTGCCCCTGGAATTGGGCCGGGCAGGCTGCAGCTGCTAGCTGAGGCTGGGCTGTTCCTGGTGGAGGCTGGGGCCACACTGCTATCCAGCCAGGTGGCAGCACTGGGAGCAGGGCTATGGGGGGCTGCAGCCACCTGAAATTTCGCTGTAGCCCTCCCAACCCTCTCCCAGCACTACCACTGCTCTGCCCAACAGCAGCACTGCCCCAGCCTCTGCCAAGAACAGCCCGGCACCACCTCCTAGCCCACAGTGGCAGCCTGCCCTCCCTGGTATAGATCCAGAGCATGCAGCCGCCACACCTGGGGGGTGGGAAGGGGCTGGGAGGCGGTGCCAGGCTGTTCCTTTTGGAGGCTGGGGGCTGAGGTTGGGCCATATAGTGGTGGTGCTGGGGGGTGCCATGGCAAATTTTTGGGAGGCTCCAGCCCCCCTGTAGCCCCACTCCCAGCACCATCTTTGCTGGGAACAGCCCGGCCCTAGGCTGGAGCTGCAGCCCAGTGTGCCCCACCCCACGCAATTCCTGGGGCATGCAGTTCCCACCCACCCCCCATGCCCTCCCAGG